AAAACATGCATAGATATACATTCACATACATAGGGAAGCATTTTTCTTGAGCTTTTTAGGCACTTTTTTTAAAGCAAAAATGCTTCAAAAACTCCTCGGTGTGAACGTAGCCTAACCCTTGCACTGAACTAGATCAAACCTTCAGCTAGATATTTGTGCTTTTTTGATGCGTTCATTTAAAATCTTCCTAGCAACGAGAATAAATTATTTAAAAATGGGAAAAAAAAGGCAAAACGCATCAAAAACGCAAGTGCAAAAACGCAGAACGCAATGCAGAAACGCCACAAACGCAATCTGCATAGGTGTGAACCTAGACTAGACTCATGTCCGAACACACCTGAGCTCATGCCTCATCAGAGCATCCTTTCTTGCCATCACTAATGCAGGCTATACTTCAAATTTGAGTGATCAGGCATGTTGGGGATTTTTGGAAAAACAAACAAATTGCTAATCAATGATGGGAGAATTGTGTGAGAAGTATTATCAAAAAAGAAATGAGCATGAGCTGTGACCTGGAAAGAGAAGATTTCCAGCCATGATTTGATGAATTAAGGCTTGGTTGGTCGAATTTCAAAATCAATGGTGGCACCATCGGATTACAAAACGAATGAAATTTCTGATTTTCAAATGAAAATTCATTCGGAATTCGACCCATGGATGGTCTGCATTAGTCGGTATTGAGTCACAAGGAGCAAAAGTAGCTCCATTCACATCTGAGCGTTTGATCAGTGCTAATAAAAAGCACTGACACGGTACTAATGACACTGGGCAGGAAGAGGTTAACATGTGGGGCGATCAAGGGGTTAACTGTGTGCTGTTTTGCTATGTGTGCTGTACTATGTAAGTATGCTGCTTTATATGCAGAGCAATACAAAACAGCATGCTGCTGTTGACAGGGGAGAGAACTGTATTGTTTACATACAGTCCTCTCCCCTGTCACGGAATCTTCGGCCTGGACCCAGTGATAGACAGCTGTAACTGTTAATGGCGGCGCGGGTAGGGTGGCGTTTCTAAATGTCCCCCCACATCCACTGCCTATGCATGCTCCCTGGGAGCGCGCAGCGCCACAATCTGTCCCTGCTGTGTCCACCGGACACAGCAGAACACAGATTAATGTATGTGCAAGGTCCCGATTCATGTGATCAGTGATTAGCCAATCAGTGATCACATGAACAGTAGTAAACAAGATGTCACTTTCTGACATCATAGTTTAATACTTGTAAATTCTGTGAATGATCACAGAGGTCACATGGTACAAGGCCATTCATAACAGCCTTGTACCATGTGACAAGCTGTGACCAATCGCAGCACTGACAGTATTTCTCAATGGCTGCAAGAATGCAGCCAGAGAGGAGAGAGAGGGAGAAATTATTGCTTTTGCAGCCTTTATGAGTGTAAAAGCAATCAGGGTAAAAAAAAAAAAAAAATCTTCATCACCCCCCACAAATAATACTGTGCCACTAAGGTGACACTGTACTACTAGGGTGACAGTATGTAAAAAAAAAAAAAAAAATACATAAATAATAATAGGAAAGATAATAAAATAAAAATGTAAAAAACATTTTTTGAAAAATTATAATTTTTTTATAAACTGATTTGGGTTATTTTTTTTTACCAAACAGATAGTTGAATACATTTTGGCTAAGCTTTATGAAGACAGAATATTTATTTTTAATATTTCATAAGAAAAACACTTTTTTTTTTCAAATGTTTGGTCTTTTTTCATTTATATATCAAAAAAATAAAAATCCCAGTGGTGAATAAATACCACCAAAAGAACGTTTTACCTTTCTCAAAAAAATGTATTTGGGTACAGTGGTGCATGACCGCGCAATTGTCATTCAAAGTGTGACAGTGCTGAAAGCTGAAAATTGGCCTGGACAGGAAGGGGGTGAAAGTGTCCGGACTGGAAGTGGTTAATGCCTGCAGCTATTTTGAGTCACTTCCTCCACACCAACAAGCTCAATGGACTGGTAGTAGTATATTCCCTCTGCTGAGGATCTTCTCTATTTTTTTTCTGTACGTCTGCCTAATGTGTTTCTTTATAGCTCCAAAGCTTGAAATATATTAGAAGGACAGCACTGTGCAATGTAATACAGTCTCACCAGCTCATTATGTTGACACTTCTACCTTTTGCCTATTTTATGGTGTTATAGAGGTTATGGCAGACTAATGTATGTGGTTTTAACCCACAACATTTCTGAAAAACTGTCAACTCACTTTTACCAACTGCTAAAACCAGTGGGCACTAAGAGGTATTCTTACTATTTGACCTTTCTGCTTCCTCCCACAAAGCTGACCGCCTGTTTTTCCACAATAAACTCCACTCCTTCGGACTACATTTTCCTGGTTCTCCTACTAACTGTTTAAATGCTTCTTCACCTTCAACTCCACCCCTTCTCTTCTATTCTCTTTTCTCTTCTTCCAAGGCTCTGTCCTCAGACCGATTCTGTTCTCTTCTCTTCTCCCAAGGCTCTGTCCTCAGACCGGTTCTGTTCACTTCTCTTCTCTGGTCTTCTCTTGTCTTCTCCCAAAGCTCTGTCCTCAGACCGATTCTCTTCTCTTCTCCCAAGGCTCTGTCCTCAGACCGATTCTCTTCTCTTCTCCCAAGGCTCTGTCCTCAGACCGATTCTCTTCTCTTCTCCCAAGGCTCTGTCCTCAGACCGATTCTCTTCTCTTCTCCCAAGGCTCTGTCCTCAGACTGTTTCTCTCTTCTCTTCTCCCAAGGCTCTGTCCTCAGACCGATTCTGTTCTCTTCTCTTCTTCCAAGGCTCTGTCCTCAGACCGATTCTGTTCTCTTCTCTTCTCCCAAGGCTCTGTCCTCAGACCGATTCTCTTCTCCCAAGGCTCTGCTTTTCGTTTCTTTCGTTTTTTGGGTCGGCGGTGGTGGCGGGCATTGTGATTGACATTGGATCTACTTCGGGGGACATTTTTTTAAATTTCTATTTTTAATAATGGACTTGTCAAAGACTGTCTACTGTACTTTTTACACACTTTTTTTTTCGGTGAATGAGTAGCAGTACCGTGCAACCCATACTCATTCACATGCGGGGGGGCTGAGATCTGGGAGCCCCCTTGTTAAAGGGGGCTTCCGGATTCCAATAAGCCCCCCGCCCACAACCACCAGTCACAGTTATGAGGACAAGGCTCTGGCCCCCATCAATATGGGGACAAGATGCTTTGGGCGGTGGAGCCACCCTGCCCCAAAGCACCCCCCCATGTTGACAGCATGTGGTCTGGCATGGTTCAGAAGGGGGGGGGGCGCTCACTCGTATGCTCTGCATACTCGTATTAGGGTCTGGCATTTTTTTCTGAGGGGGACCCCTAAGCCATTTCTTAAAAACTTTTGGTGTGAGGGTTCCCCTGAAAATCCATACCAGAGCCGAAGGGATTGGTATGAATGAGGGGGGCCCACACTTTTTAAAATAAAAAATTGAATTGCTGGGCAATGCTGGCAATTCTTTTTACAGTCAGCTGTCAGCAGAGAACCCTGCTGACAGCTGAAACATGAAATGGATGTTTACACTACTTAAATACTGCATGACTTAATAATGCAACTCATGCGGTATTTTAGTAGCTGTGCGGTATCTTATGGCACACTCAGATGCGGTAAGATACCACTTACTGAATTGTCTGCTCTGTTCGAAATTCGCGGTTGAACTTTCATTAGGTTTGAATGTTCGACTGAAAACCGAACAGAGGGGTGTTCAGCTCATCATCACTACTCCTCACACAGGATGGAGTGCCCTCTATTTATTGCAACTCCAGGAGAAGTGAAGACACCCTTATCTGTTTAAGATCAGTACAATAGGGCCACAAGGGTTCTTTTTAAATCAACGACCCCTTAATTTGGATGCCACACCAAAATCTATGAGTAAAGACATGGCCTTTATCATGGCCATCGTATGTGTGTGTGGGGGGGGGGGGGGGGTCAAGAGGTATCCCTTGTGGCTTCTAGGTGGTCATCTGTGGTTGGTGTTTGTGGATCAGGGCACATTTAGTTTTTAACACCGTGGCTGGTTGTCTACAGTACTGTATATACACACCATGTCCTTTTACTCTCCTGAAGAAGAGACTGTACTTCTACTCTCCTGAAGAAGTTTGTGAAACGCGTAGAGAGCTTTTGAAATGTTATCAGTATGTCTAATACAAGATATATGGTAGTGAACTCTATCTAAAATCTATGTTATATGGATGACTTTTAGCCAATTCATATAATAAATTACCTATTTCATGAGATTGAATTTCATGTACCTTCAAAGTCCCAACGATTTTTTGATGTGCATTTTTTTGTGCCTTGTAATACATTGTCAGTAGGAAAGGAACTGAGAGCAAATCTCTCTAAGGGAGTCTCAGTAGCAGTAATAACCTATCAATATATTGCTTCCATGCTCTAAATTAGCGGTTCTCAACCTGTGGGTCGCGACACATTTGGGGGTCGAACGACCCTTTCACAGGGGTCGCCTAAGACCATCGGAAAACACATATTTCCGATGGTCTTAGGAACCAAGACACCGCTCCTCTATCCATCTCCAGGTGTGGGCGGGATGACATGCCGCCCCTGTCATCTGGACACACCCCCGGGATCAATCACCAGTGAGGAGGTGGAGCTTGGAGAGGAGGAACCGAGCGGCACCGCGAAGATCGAGCGAGTGAAGAGGAGGAGAACGGCCGGAGAAGGAAGACAGCTGACTGGTAAGTGTCTGTACCTGGGAGAGGGAGGGAGGGAGCGAGCGACCCCAGGCTGGAGCAGGGGTCAGCAAGGTAAGTATCATTGATGTCAGTGGGAGGAAGAGTGCCCAATCATTGGTGTCACTAATACCAATGATGGGTCACTATTCCTCCCCCCACTGACACCAACGATGGGGCACTATTCCTCCCCCCACTGACACCAACGATGGGGCACTATTCCTCCCCCCACCGACACCAGCGATGGGGCACTATTCCTCCCCCCACTGACACCAACGATGGAGCACTATTCCTCCCCCCACTGACACCAACGATTGGGCACTATTCCTCCCCCCACTGACACCAACGATGGGGCACTATTCCTCCCCCCACTGACACCAACGATGGGGTACTATTCCTCCCCCACTGACACCAACAATGGGGCACTATTCCTCTCCCACTGACACCAATGATGGGGCACTATTCCTCCCACTGACACCAATGATGGGGCACTATTCCTCCCACTGACACCAATGATGGGGCACTATTCCCCCCACTGACACCTATGATGGGGCACTATTCCTCCTACTGGCACCAATGATGGGGCACTATTCCCCCCAATGACACCTATGATGGGGCACTATTCCTCCCAATGACACCTATGATGGGGCACTATTCCTCCCACTGACCCCAATGATGGGGCACTATTCCTTCCACTGACACCAATGATGGGGCACTATTCCTCCCACTGACACCAATGATGGGGCACTATTCCTCCCACTGACACCAATGATGGGGCACTATTCCTTCCACTGACACCAATGATGGGGCACTATTCCCCCCACTGACACCTATAATGGGGCACTATTCCCCCCACTGGCATCATTGATGGGGCACTATTCCTCCCACTGGCACCAATGATGGGGCACTATTCCCCCCACTGGCACCTATGATGGGGCACTATTCCTCCCACTGACACCAATGATGGGGCACTATTCCTCCCACTGACACCAATGATGGGGCACTATTCCTCCCACTGACACCAATGATGGGGCACTATTCCTCCCACTGACACCAATGATGGGGCTCTATTCCTACCACTGATACCAATGATGGGGCACTATTCCTCCCATTGACACCAGTGATGGGACACTATTCCTCCCACTGACACCAATGATGGGGCACTATTCCCCCCACTGACACCTATGATGGGGCACTATTCCTCCCACTGACACCAATGATGGGGCTCTATTCCTACCACTGATACCAATGATGGGGCACTATTCCTCCCATTGACACCAGTGATGGGACACTATTCCTCCCACTGACACCAATGACGTGGCACTACTCCTCCCACTGCAAAATGACAGTTATGAAGTAGCAACGAAAATAATTTTATGGTTGGGGGTCACCACAACATGAGGAACTGTATTAAAGGGTCACGGCATTAGGAAGGTTGAGAACCACTGCTCTAAATGTTTTGTTCAGTGATGGACTTTCTCAGGTGATCTGTTGAATAGGCTGATGATGTACTCCAACACACCGAAAACCTGACCTAATTGCAGTACACTACAGGGCATGTCATTGCCCAATTAATAAAATTCAAAACATTAATAATAACATATAAAACCATTTATAACTCTGCCCCAAATTACATCACCAATCTTGTCTCCACATATCACCCAAACCGTACACTCTGCTCCTCGCACGACCTCCTGCTCTCTAGCTCCCTTGTCTCCTCCTCCCTTGCTCGTCTCCAGGACTTCTCCAGAGCCTACCCCATCCTCTGGAACTCTCTACCCCAATTTATCAGACTACCGCCTACTCTTCTCACTTTTAGGCGATCTCTGAAAACCTATCTCTTCAGGGAAGCCTATCCAGCCCTCAGCTAATAATGGAATCTTCTATTCCTCCTACCAGTCCATCCCCCACAGTTATTACCTTTTGTACCACTAGCCCCTCCCTCTTAGATTGTAAGCTCCAAGGAGCAGGGCCCTCCTATCCCTCTTGTATTGAACTGTATTGTTACTGTATTGTCTCCCATTATAATGTAAAGTGCTGAGCAAACTGTTGGCGCTATATAAATCCTGTATAATAATAATAATAATAATAATCAAGGGTTCTAAACTATTCCTGCACTATCCAAAACTAGAATAAATGTTTTATGCATGACTGAGAGTTTATATGGGGCGTTCTACAGCATACTAGACAAGAAAGTGCAGCGCTAGAATGAATACAATGTCCCAATGACTCTTTGTGTACAATCACTAAAAACACAGAATAAAAATTAAATTTAAAGTCAAAATGGTAAAATCAAAAAAAGGTTCCAATATGAATATATAAAGTGACTCTCGTGCTTAGTGACTCTGGATCTGGTATCAGTGCAGTGGTGGCAAAGGTAATGCGCACTCACCGGATGCACATAGTTATTGCGCCTTATATTAGAATCCAGATGTCATCAAACAGGTATACCTGTTTAATACCTGTTTGATGACATCTGTATTTTAATATAAGGCGCAATAACTATGCGCATCCGGTGAGTGCGCATTACCTTTACCACTACTGCACTGATACCGGGTCCAGAGTCACTAAGCATGAGAGTCACTTTATATATTGTTCATATTGGAACCTTTTTTTTTGATTTTACCATTTTGACTTTAAATTGAATTTTTATTCTGTGTTTTTAGTGATTTTACAGTCATTGGGACATTGTATTCATTCTAGCGCTGCACTTTCTTGTTTAATATCTATGTTTTAGGGTGCTATTGGTTACCTTTTATACACAGCAGCTTTGTTTTTGTTTTAAGGCGCTCGCTCCTCTTTTATTATATAGTTCTAAAGCATACGCCAGTGCAAAGGGCTCTTTTTAACCGCACAGAGATGCACGGGAGTTCCATGCAAGTCAATTGAGACACAGCAGCTGCACAGACACAGCCGCTGCTCCCTTTTTGACATCCATACAGGACCAAGTGCACAGCCCCAAATGCAGACTGTTAGCCTCAAGAGCCAGGAATATTTTTTTCGGCCCACTGCAAAGAATTTTTTTACTTTACCACCAAATATATTTTTTAATATCACTATTGGCGCACTGATATTTTGTTATCAGCTTACAACACCTTATGATGGTTTTTGTATGAGAATGATGTTTTTTTTGTTCTTGGGAAATCACCAAATGCATCTTTAGCTGGTGTGTTCATAACATGATCTGACTTTTACACTGTAAGTGGTGGGAGGACAACAGTCGTGATATGATCTAATCAGCACTTACGTGGGAGTACAGTGGGTGTAAATAGTAATAACATGAATCCAAGCCCAAAAATAAAAAATTGAATATACTGCAGCTCAGAGATCTTCTAATATAGTGGCTCCATTAGCTTTCTTTTGTCTGGCTTTTTTGTCTTTATTTTTCTAGTGACCTACCAATAACACACTTCCTGTCCTAGGGTGACAACATTGCAGAGGCAGGGAGTACAAGCAGGGGCGGACTGACAACTCATGGGGCCCCTGGGCAATAGGGGATCATGGGCCCCTGTGTCCTTGCCCAAACTCAAAAAAGCCTATGAAAAAGATACCAGGGGCATCTCATGGGGCCCCCGCCTGACCCCGGGCCTTCGGGCAGTGCCCGAGTTTCCAAATGGTCAGTCCGCCCCTGAGTACAAGATGTTATCAGCTCCCAAGATTTCTGGTATTTTTTCACCTATTATTTAGATATAAAAAAATGCTTCTAATGGTGTATTTAGCAGACCAATGAGGATGAAATAAGGGAAGTTAATTTTTAAGGTTTACATATACTTAGGAAAATCTTCTTTTAGTGTAGAGCTGCTAGATAAATTGTGTATGGATAGAAATATAGTGTATGATGTCTATTTATAAAAAAAATCTCTGTGTGAACATCTCAAGTATTCACTAAGCTGTCAAGAATAATCTTGTATTTGACTTTAATGTTTTTTTTTTGTGATCATCAGATCCATCTAATGGCCATGATGCAGTATTTCCCTGAAATATCTTCAATTTAGAAAAATACTGCATCACAGCCACTAGATGGAACTGGCGATCATAGCACATAAATGTATTGGGCAAAATACAGATATTATTTGTGACAATTGAGCGAATTTCTGAGATATTTTATAGCATAGACCCTTTGTGATAGTACTGGGACAAGGTCTTCTGGCACTGAAGGTAAAAGATGTGAGTGCATCTACAACCTCCTTCCCACATGTCCTGCAGTGAGGGGGAGATACGCTATATTGCCAAAAGTATTGGGCCAGCCCTCCAAATCGATGGATTCATGAGTTCCAATTGCCTCCCTGGCCACAGGTGTATAAAATCAAGCACCTAGGCATGCAGACATGGCTTGGCCCCTAATTTCCAGTGAAGGGAACTCTTAAGGCATCAGCATACCAAGACATTGTGTACAATTTCAAGCTCCCAACTTTGTGGGAAACAGTTTGGGGATGGCCCCTGCCTGTTCCAACATGACTGTGCACCAGTGCACAGAGCAAGGTCCATAAAGACATGGATGAGACAGTTTGGGGTGGAGGAACTTGACTGCCTGCACAGAGTCCTGACCTCAACCCCATAGAACACCTTCGGTATGAATTAGGGTGGAGACTGCAAGCCAGGCCTCCTCCCCCGACATCAGTGCCTGACCTCACAAATGTGCTTCTGGAAGAATGGTCAAACCTTCCCATAGACACCCTCCTAAACCTTGTGGACGGCCTTCCCAGAAGAGTTGAAGGTGTTATAGCTGCCAACTCAATATTGAACCCTATGGACTAAGACTGGGTTGCCATTAAAGTTCATGTGCGTGGAAAGGCAGGCTGCCCAATACTTTTGGCAATATAGTGTAGGTGGGATCAGGCCCAGACTGGTTATTGGGCATACTGGGCTGAGGCTGCATGTCCTTACAAGAGATGGCTAGCCTCCTGCTGTCCACAGTGTTCAGAGTGAAGACTCTCTACCCTGTCCTGTGCAGGCATCTCTGCAGGAAGGAATCCAGTTTGTGCAGGTATGCCCCCTAGAGCTGGGATGGGGGTGCAGCCCGCCCTCCTCCCCTGCTGTCAATGGGGAATTATACTGGCAGCTGCTGGAGCTCCATGAGATCCTCTTCTTCTGGTTTCTGAGCAAGAAGCTTGTGCTGCTGTCAGTGGGGCTGATATCCAGGACCTTACTGTCCATCTACATTGTGGGCTTGGACATGAAGTGTATGAAAAGCATAGTGGAGATGATGCTTGGAATAAACTTCAAGCAGAGGTAGTGAGCCCCCACACCCTTTTTCCCCATCCAGGTGGATAAGCCAGGTTTTGTGTATTTTGGTAAGGTGCAAATAATGGGGCACTGGGGAAATTTGGTGATGAGGAATTCTAATTTATCCTTAGGGCCATTTACACTTGCTTTGACTTACCTACCACTTCAACATGCTTTTTTATGTGTCTTTGATGCTTCTGTGATGCTTTTTTGAAGTTTTAATGAAGCTTTGCAAATGCTGTGTGTGTTGATTTTTCCTGGCTCACTAGTACCCCTGTTTAGCAGATACCCAGCTCATTAGTCACTCCTGTTTAGCAGATCCCCAGTTTATTAGTATCCTTATTGTTTAGCAGATCCTCAGTTTATTAGTACCCTTGTTCAACAGATTCCCTGCTCATTAGTAACCCCCAGCTCTGCTGATCCTCTGGTTTGCTGATCCTCCTCTCTGGTTTGCTATTCCCTGCTCACCTGCCACTACAGTATATTGCCCCCACACTGCTCACCACGTGTGACATCTGCTAGTTTCTCCAGCTTCGGTCCCCCAGCTCTGCTGATCTTCTGTCACTCAGTCCTCTCTCTCTCTGGTCTCCGCTCACCTTCTGCATTCCCATGTTGCACACCGCATGTACGTCTGCTTGTTTTTCTGCTCCAGTTTGGACCCCGCTCACCTTCCAGCTGCTCCTCACTGCACACCTGATGTGACATCTGCACCAGACACTCCCAGAATATATACACATGTACTGGAAGTGACTGCTGATGATGTCTTTCTGGATCGCTTTTTTGTTTCCCAATGCATCCTGGGAAATTTCATACCTTCAATACCTCCAAAGCAATGCTACCGCTGCATAAAAGCCCCTCAAAAGCTTCAGGTGCTGTAAGTGAGCTTTGTCATAGACTTCTATGGAGGCTTTGGAGACTATTTGAAGCCCCAAGAAAGTGACATGGGGTATAATTTTTGAAGCGCAGGAAAGCAAAGACAACGT